AAAAGAGTAATTGGTCCCTAAGGTGGATGGCCATCCAGGACCAGGGAAGTGTTTCTTTAATACAGATGCTAGTATCTGCATCCAACAGATTTGACAAAGGCTTATCAATAGCAGAGCCTGATGTGAAGAAAGGATTTTCCAACCTTAGTTATTAAGGTAACACTAGCTGCATGAAGACATAAACCTCCAAATCTCAATGGCTAAATACAACAGAATTTGTTTCTCACTCACATAATAAACTGTCCAGTGCGAGTGTTTGGCAAGAGGCCTTCCACACTGTGATTCAGGGACCCAAGCTCTTCTCATCTGTCTGCCATTTTCAACACGTGACTCCCACATTTCTTGCAGAGGGAAAAGAGAGCATGGAGAAGGCACACTCCCCTACCTTAACATATTAACTCACATTCTATTAGTCATGCAGCTCCACCTAGATGTAAAGGCATCTGGGTAATGCCATACCTGGCTGGACAGTCACTCCCTGGCAAGCACTGTACACCACGTGGCAAGGGAAGCGTGGATCCTTGGTGGAAAGCCACTCAGCCTTCTCCACCATGCCATCAAAACTACCCAATGATGGACTTAGCTACATCGAGAGGCAGTGAACACTGATGTCCCTGGTAGCATTCAAACAAGGGCCAACTACTCATCTATCAGCTTTACCGCATGGGGATTCCTGCCGTAATTCAGAGGGTGAACTCTCAGCTTCTGTAATTGCACTTACTGGGAAGTTACTGGGGGCCCAGTTTTATTTTAGGTGCTAAGTATGATGCACACTGCTTTGTGATTTCTAGTTTATTTGTATTGACCTTTGTCCATGTGCAGTTCTCCCTACACAACTGTAAGCTCCCAAAGGTCAAGGACAAAATCACTCATGTTTGTAGCCCTCTGCAGCTCTCTAGGCTTTGGGACTTAGTAGGTACACAAGTCGTTAGTGCTCAGCAAATGGAAGAAGATGCAGTCGGTTGTTTTCCTTAGAGCCTCACAATCTCATTAGAGGGAGAGGCTAATATACAAATGCCAACACAAGCAATAGAGGCTCCTTGGGCCATTGGTGTTCAGGGGAGGAGATTCGTGGGCTGGGAGAATAACCACTGAGCTTCCTTCCCAGATTTCCTGCCAAACAGCTGCTAAGACCTACAGGATTTGGGTTGGCAGGGAGATGGGCAGAGGGGAAGCTTCACTTGTATTATTTCCAGAAGGATGTGTGTAGAGATGGGAGGGCAGGGACACGAGACGGCCGGGATCAGTCCGTCTTTACTAGGAGCCTGCAGAGGGCAGAGTGGCGCCTTCTAGGCTGCCCACAGGGGGAGAAACAGTGACACCCGTGTCCTAAGATGGAGGCTTATCCTGGGGAGAGCCAGGGACGCAGTTCAAGCCAATCATTTCAACCCTCAGCTAATTTTATTTCACCACTCGGCAAATACTTATTGAAAACCTACTATGTGCCACGGCCTAGTGTGGGTTCTGTGGACACACGAATGAATAAAGCAGAGACCCTGCCCTCATGGCACTTACATTCTGTGTCTGTGTCCCCAGGGGCACCTCTGGGCACTTGACTTGTGAGAATAAATATGCTCTCATACTTGAACAGAGCTTCACGTGTGTGAAAACATTTCACACGTCCCCTGCTCTCACCAGGTCCTTGCCACCCCACTCCCACCCTATGAGCTAGATAGGGGGCAAATTCACCCCTCTATATTATAGGTAAGGAAAACCAAAAACCAGAAAGGTGAAGTGACATGTCTAAGGCCTAGCCATAGCTATTAGGACTCATATATCCTGATTCCTAGACCACAACTCATCGCACCACCGCAGCCTTATTGGGCCTGGCTGGTACTCCAGACTGATCCATTGCCCCACCTTGTTTAGCTTCCTGTTTTCTGCCTTCACCTCCAACTTTTTTTTTTTTTTAATATAAATTTATTTATTTTTGGCCATGTTGGGTCTTCGTTTCTGTGCGCAGGCTTTCTCTACTTGTGGCAAGTGGGGGCCACTCTTCATCGCGGTGTGCAGGCCTCTCACTGTCGCGGCCTCCCTTGTTGCGGAGCACAGGCTCCAGACGCACAGGCTCAGTAGTTGTGGCTCACGGGCCCAGCCACTCCGTGGTATGTGGGATCTTCTTGGACCAGGGCTCAAACCCGTGCCCCCTGCATTGGCAGGCGGACTCTCAACCACTGCGCCGCCAGGGAAGCCCCACCTCCAACTCTTGTTAGCGATTCCTGAAGCTGCTCCCCATCCTCTGCAAGCATCTGCCTCTGCAGGTGATTCCAATGTGCAGGCAAAGCTGAAAATCATTGGCAACCTTCAAATAATACTGATGTCGGAGTCTCACTCCAGAGATTTTGTTGTAATCACTCCAGGCTAAGTCCTGAACAGTAGGATCACATGCTCATATGTGCATACACATGAACACAGCACACACACATACATGCACACCCCCATGCATGCACACACACACACATGCATACACACATGCACACCTGGGAGGACAAAAATATCTCTCTCTCTGGAACATCCTCCAAAAAGACCAATGTCTCCCTCTTTACAGCCCTCCTCCTTCTTACCCACCCGCACTTGAAGTCTTTAGGGCTGCTCAGTCAGCCTTATCTGCAACATTTCCAGCCCAAATACAGTCCAACTTGATGGCCAGCTCCCCAAGGATGGAAGACTCACTGCTCCACAAGGCAGCTCTGTTTAAAACACTCGTCTTTATATTATGTTCTTGAAGTTTCTATCCTTTGGCAGTCCCAGTGGGATGGGGTCAAACAGAAAATTTCAGGAGTGGTCAGGACCCTTGGTTGTACATGCCTGAACCCCACTCCTAAGCTGGCTCCAGCAAAAAGGGAGCATATTGGTTCCCAGAACTTGGAAGTTTCAGGTGGAGCTGGCTAGGACTTGGCTGTCTCCAGAGGCTACAATGGTTTTAGTATGTCTTTGTCCCCCTTTTCCTCTTAACTCTTTCTTCTCTACATCATGAGAAGATGGCAGCTGGTACCCGCAACCCCACTGCCTTCTAACTTAACAGCTTCGGTGGAAGGAAAGAGAGTGTCTCTTAGGGAATAATTCTGACTCTCCAGGCCCGGGACTCTCAGCCCCATGCAAACCACATAGTAGGAGCTCGCCAGAGAAGGGTCCTGACAACATGAGGTGGGGAAGGCGACGTGGAGCAGTAAGGTCCTGACGCCCACCAGATGCCCAGGCATCCTCTGGTGCTACTCCGTAGAATCACGTGCCCCTGCAGTCCTGGCCTCAAGGCAAACACCTGTCTGTTCAGGAGCTGCTCACCTGATGGGATGTTGGATCCTCTCGGTGCATCCTGGGTTGCTGGTTCATCTCCCTCTGAGGGTGCCACGCCCAGAGCCCAGGCAAGATGTCAAGGGTGGCCAGATCTCCTCTCTCCTCTCCTGCCACCTGAACCACATTCAGCACACTCACTGGCTTTGCTGGTGGCCCCTTCATGTGAGTGACTCGCACGGTGGCTGCTGAGCCACTTTCTCCAGCCAGGCTGGTCCTGTGTGGGTGTTGGCCCCGGGGTGAGCCTCATACGGACCCCTCCTAGGCTGGACTCCTACGAGCCCCACTCTTTCAGGTCCCTGGTCCTCCTCTGTCCTTTCCTCCCAGCAACCTATAAACAAAACTGAGAGTCATGCCTTCCACATTTTTATCAAGCCATTGATGAAATGACTTTCCAAGGTGGACATATGCTGATTGAGAGACCATTGATGCAGCTGGCCACATTTGTTTCTAATCTGTCTAAATGTCCTCACTTACACGCCTTCCTTCTCTACCTTCTCCCCGGGGCCACGAGGAGAGGATTGCTTACGGTCCACATGTGCTGCTTCTCGAATGTTCCACTTGAGTTGATCGTAGAGAGCAAGTAGGTTCCTAGCGCTCCCTGCCTCCTCTCCTGGGCTCTGACAAGCCATTTCCTCTACAATGCCCAGGATCCACTTCGAATTCACAGGTGTCTGGTTTGCAGAAATACTTTACCGGCTGCTGGGAAAGCAGAATGGCAGTGGGACCACGCCCTCCCTGCAATGGCTTCGAGCCGTGGGCAGTGGCACAGCCATCTCACATCCCTGGGCTGTGAGCGGTCGGGCCTGCAGAGCCCCGCTCTTCTTCCAGGGCTTGTGCTGTGGATCTCTTCCCCTATCGTGGGCATTTTTGCCCTGATTCATTCTACCTGTGACTTGAGAGGAGTCACAAAGGCAACAGTTTGCTGAGAGGCTGGGATTGACATTACATGGAGCTGCAGGCACAGCCATCCCTTCTAATTGTCTCTATCACATCTCTGAGATAAAAGCACAGAGATCAAACTATCCCTTTGGATCCAGAATCCCAAATCCTCAATGATTCACTTACTGCAGCAAGAGCTGTATGCACAGAGAAACCTCCAGACAAATATTGTGTCCTCCCGTGTGCCAGCTCCATCCCAGCCTGGTCCTTGGGGAGTGGGGCTGGATCATGTGGATTTCAAGCCCCTCTCATGCCCCTCAGTATCTTTGCTTATGCTGCTCCCTCCTCCTAGAGCATCCCTCGGTTTTCTGCTGATCATAATCATGGCTCTTTTTCAATACCAAGCTCATACGCCGCCTTCTTCATGAAGCTTACTGCGATTAGCCCAATCACTCATTGTTCACTCAACAAATATTTATTGAGTGCCTATGTGCCAGGCACTGTTCTGGGCTCTTGGGATCTATAAGTGAGCAAAACGAAGACCCTGCCCTCATGGAGCTTACATTCAAGTGGGAGGGGGGAATACAATAAACGGTAAAATAATCAGTAAACTCCTTAGCATGTTAGAAGGTACTAGGTGATAAGAGAAGATAATAGAGCTCAGTAGGGCAGGCGCTGGGGAAATCAGGCAGGAAGTGTGGTTCGGGTGGTCTGGCAGACTCTGTGAGAAGGTGACATCTGAGTAGGGAGGAAGGAGGGGAGGGAGTGAGTCAAGCCAACATGGGTGGGGGTGGGGAGAGAAAGGGGACATGCTCAAGGCAGAGCTCTGAGGCCGGAGTGTGCCTCCTGTTCTGGAACGGCACAGAGGCTGAGCGGAGCGAGCAAGGGAGAAAGTACTGGAAGGTGAGGTTTGAGAGGTAATGGGAGCCTGCTTTACCCTCCCTCCCATACTATTTTGGCCCTTCGTTTAAGGTTATTCTGTCCTGTGGTGCAGTCGGTGTTTCTGTCTGGGGCTAGGGATGAGTTCTAGTGTCGCCCAGAGTCTAGCCCAGTCCTGACACTTGGCAAATGCTGACATGCTTGTGGGAACTGCAGGGGAGGGAGGTCATGACGCTGAGCATGACAGCAGAGTGAGAGCTGAGACAAGACAGGGAATGAGACTGCTTTTGCTACAGAAAGTTCGAGGAAACTGGATCTTCCCCTCCCCTTTCCGTAGCTGGGCCCTGCCTCTCCTCCCTTCTCTTTACACACCAGCTCCACTTTGCATCCCACAGGCTCTTCCATCCCCGAGAACCAGGCCCCAGCGTCTCTCCGAAAACTCATCATAATCTCATGGATCCTGGAAGCAGAGGCGTTTGGCCTTTCACTCCCAGTGGCTCCCATGCTTGCCAGGCAAAGAGATTGCTACTATAGATAAAATGAGGACACCACTCTAGACCCCAAATTGAGGCAGGTTCTATTTATAGTACCTCAGTTGTAGCGATTTTAACCTGCGCCCCACCCCAACCCCCTTAAGGCTGTGATCTAAGACCAGATGTAGGACCTGCAAGGAGTGGCCAGTTTGCTCCTGCTCTGATGGTGGGTGCTGCTTCCCCTCTGCTGACCCTCTCCCACCTTTTCCACCACAGCCTATGAGATCATCATAGAAACCGGCAACGGAGGCGAAACCAGGGAGAACGTCTGGCTCATCCTGGAGGGCAGGAAGAACCGATCCAAAGAGTTTCTCGTGGAAAATTCTTCTAGACAGCGGGCCTTTAGGAAGTAGGAAGAGGGGTGCCCACAGGGGAATGTGGATGGGTGGGGCGGGTAAGAGAGGGACCCCAAGAACCAGCCCTTTTAGTGGGGGCCATAAATATACAAATGGGCCTAACCAGCAAGAATTTATTGAGTGCCTACTGTGTGCCAACACCATTCGAGCTCCAACGGATGAAACAAGGAGATTTAGAAGAGGGAAGAGAGGGGACTGTCATTTAAAGAGACCCCCCTCTAAGAGACTAGAATCTATATTATTCCAACTACTAGAAAGAAGGGATAATTTTGTAATATGATAGAAGTGCTAATTATGGCTACAATGACAATCATAGTACAATATATAAATGTTTCCAAGTAACATGTTGTACACCTTAAATTTACACAATAGTATATGTCAAATGTATTTCAATTTTTAAAAAGAAATGGAAAACTACAACAAAAATCAGTTAATAAATTAATTAAAGCAAGCCCACTCTGCGGCAGGACCGGGAATCACACTGACATTATCCTGTGTCCGTGCAGATGAGGCGCTCACAGTCTAGTTGAAAAGGGAGACATTCACGCATAAGAATGCAGAAGGATCATATAAGACAGCGTAGACTTTTAGGAGGGAGGGTGGGGAGAGCCTCTAATATGCTTTATAGGAAAATCAAAATTGGATCTCGTGTAACAGGTGCCTCTACTCAGCACTCCCGGCTGCCTGCCACAGGCCGGAGACTCCCACCGCCTCCTGCACGTCTGAGCCACCTCTGAACTGCTCAGAAGCCCCCTTCATCTCCCCGCTTTGTCCAGAATTGCCTACATAAGGTCTCCCCCTGCCATAACCCCACTGTACCTTCTATTCAAACCCCTCTGCGTGAGGATGGTCGGAGCTGACCCGCCCCCCGCAGGCTGCCCCTCCCCCTTCTTTTCCACTGCCCTTTCCCTCAATGAACCCAGCCAAGTCATCACTCCCCCCAGAAATGTCTGCACCTCCAATCCCACTGTTCCCATCCCTTGACTTTGCCAAGTCAGATCGACATCAGGACTCTTCCCTTCCCCCGCCTCTGCTCTCTGAATCTCATCACCCTCTTCAACCCAATGTCCAAGGCCCAGGACCTCACCCACCTCCAACACCATTCGATATTACCAATCACTGATTCCAGGACCAAGTAGCCGGAAGGGCTTTTTAATGGTTACGATTGTCTTGTTCTGAAACTAGACTGAACCCTTAAGCAGTGGAGACCTGACCTCAGGTCTTGCTTGCTATTCTATCTCTGTTCTTCAGACAAGTGCTTAGGATACAGTTGGCACTCAGTAAATGCTTACTTCCTTCAGTGGGCATGGGCAGTTCTCACTGGCCATATCTTTGCATCCTGCAGGGGGACCACGGACATATTTGAGTTTGACAGCGTCTATCTGGGAGACATTGCCTCCCTCTGCGTGGGCCACCTCGCCAGGGAGGACCGGTTCATCCCCAAGAGAGAGCTGGTCTGGCACGTCAAGACCATCACCATCACCGAGATGGAGTACGGCAACGTGTATGTCCTGGGCCTCTGCCCTCTTCCCCGGGAAGGGCCACGCCCTCAGCGGGGAGGGCCTGTGGCCAGACCAGATGGCAGGGTGTGAGGTGTCCCCTTTGAGGCTGAGGCCACCTCACTCAGGAGGCATATGAGGCAGGAAGGGAAGAGGCAGCTACACTGCTTCTTGAGCTTTTCTGAACCAGAGGCTTTTACCCCAGAGGCAGGGGACTCGACTGGATGACCTTGGGTGCTCCAGTGATGCTTCTTTGGAAGGAAGAGCCAGTCAGACAGGGCCAGACGGCTGAGTCTTTCCTTCCCTTCCCCCATGATCACTGTATAATGATAAAGAGATAGAGCTTTGAAGCCTGCTGTTCCACGTCATTCCTGTGGGCAGAGTAGAGACCAGCTGGAGTAATCCCAAGGCCCACGGACCCTGAGGACCCCAGATAAGGAGATTTACATTTCCCCCACCAAGGCCTTCTGGGGAGTCAGGCATTTCTGGAGGATTAAGGGTCTTAGTTACCTGGGTAACTGTTCACAGCCATCAGTTTTTCTAATTAAAACCACTTGGTAACCACGTTGGAAGACAGAAGGAGCCCTGGGCTCTGGGAGGCAGGAAAGACTAAGAAGGAACCAGGAGATGAGCAAGGGGAGGCCAAGGGCAGCACATGCCTTGGGGAGGGTAGGCCCAGAGAGCAGCTAAGGCAGCTGGACATCCCTCCGGAACCACTGCTGGCCCCTCCGAACTCCCCTCGTGCCCCTCCCAGCCTGGCCCTGCTCCTGGCAACGCCTTTCACAAGAAGCGAATGGGACAGAAGCAGCAGCCCTGCCTGACCAGGCGGGTCCCAGCTTCAGGCTCCAGCCTTCAGGAGCCCAGCTTCTCAGAGAAATGTCTGTCCACATTAGACCTGCCACCTGCAGGCTCCCTGGACTTGGCTGCCTCTGACCAAGCTTCCACTTTGGGAATTAAGCAGGAAAGGTTCTCACATTTGAACTTCTGTCTTAGCCATCTCAGCCTGCCATAACTGAATCTACAGACTGGGTGGCTCAAACAACAGGCATTCTTTTCTCACAGTTCTGGAGTCTGGAAGTCAGAAATCAGGGTGCCAGCAGGGTTGGGTTCTTATGAGGCCTCTCTTCTTAGCTCACTGTGTACTCGCATGGCAGAGAAAGAGAGAGGGAGATCTGGCGTCTCTTCCTCTTCTTATAAGGGCACTAATCCCATCATGAGCCCCCACCCTCAGGACCTCATCAAAACCTGATTACCTCCCAAAGCCCCCATCTCCAAATACCATCACTTTGGGGGTTAGGGGCCTCAACATGTGAATTTGGGAGGAGAGGATTCAGTTCATAGCAGCTTCCCTCTCAGGCTGCAATGTTACTTATTGCAAATTTTTGAGAAAAGAGCAATAAATTTACAACAGTAAATCCTGTAAGAGCAATACTGACGAGGACTTGAGAGCTGGGATACAGGGGCCTGGAAGAGTTCCAGCTCACCCAGCGAGCCAGGGCCAGGTCAAAGCCCCTTCTGCAACTTGACCTGTCTCCTTATGGCAAGGAGCGTGGCTGCTGAATACTGCGCCTCTGCAAATGCCCCAAATAAACAAAACAATACAATACAATAATAAGTCACCACCTGAGTTAGCTTTAAACCCACAGTGTTGGCTGTGAGAGAGAGAGCCAAAGACCTCAGCACCACTCGGCACCTTCTAGTGTCAGGAGAAAGGGGGTGAAGAACTTCCCATCCCACAGTCCCGGGGCCGTTATAGGATTTTTCATCCAGTGGAAAGAATCTGCCACTCCCAGTGAAGCATCTTTTCCTACATTGTCAAGAGTGTGGCCTTTTGTCAGCATGGTGCTTGGGCTGGAAGGGGAGGGAGAGATGTCCATGGGGTGGGGATCTTCCCAAAGGGAAGTGGGTGCAGGGAGTGCAGACACCCAGATGCTAGAGCTGTCACGGATCAGCCGTGTAGCCTCAGGCCATAACCCAGCACCTCTCAGGGAAGAGAGCTGGATGCCCTCTAGAGTCTGGTGGGAGGGGAAGGATGACAGGGGTTCCAGCCTGGAGGGCTCTCAGAAGTCATACTCCAGCCTACCTACCTGCGCTGGTCTCAAGCCTGTGATTCCTGGTGCATGAGAACCTCCCCCCAACAAAATATCACCTCTATAGAGAGAGGGGACAGTACAGGGGTGTTCCATCATTGTGGCTATTTTCATGTCACCATTCTAGAACACATGTAAATTCTGCCGTGTAAAGACCACTTAAATAGCACTGTATATGGATCCACAGTTCCTTTCTAACCAGCATGTTGGACCATAATATTTGGATTTCCATGAAATAACAAATTAATTTAATCTCATAAACACAACAATCTCAAATTTTTATGTTCCAACCGATTCCAGTCCTGACTCGTCTTCTTCAGCATCTCTGAGCAGCTCTGTTTCGTCACTAATATCCTCAGGACCTCGGTGGTAGGACACACAGAGAGGCTTTTGTTTCTTTTTTTAAAACCCAAAGTGGAATCGTTGTTTTATCCCATTATCATATATAATACCTAATCATTTTAAAATTCAAATAAGGCAAAAAAAAGTGTGTAAAACAAAGTAAAAATTCTCTTAAGCCCTACCCATCAGAGATGGCCATCTTGAGCCTTTGGTGACCCTGTTCTCTCTGGCATATTTCTAATGTCTCACACACACACACTGTTCACAGAAGTGTGATCATATTCTACCTGGTTTTTTTAACACGTTCACTTTTTTGTTTGTTATTCTCTGCCTTGCCTTTATTGTCACCCATGACCCTACCCCCATTGCCAGTGGGAACAGCCTGGCATGTTCTTCTGCAGCTGGAGTCTTAATTCCACAAAGCCCTGAGGTCCCACATTTTGGTGATCTTATAATTACGTCTATTAGGAAACATTTCCTTTTAACTACGCCAGTGAATATTTTTCAGCCATTGAAAACAACAAATTAGGGCTTCCCTGGTAGTGCAGTGGTTAAGAATCTGCCTGCCGGCCTTCCCTGGTGGCGCAGTGGTTGAGAGTCTGCCTGCCGATGCAGGGGACACGGGTTCGTGCCCCGGTCCGGGAAGATCCCACGTGCCGCGGAGCAACAAAGCCTGTGCACCACAACTACTGAGCCTGCGCTCCGGAGCCCATGAGCCACAACTGCCAAAGCCCACTTGCCTAGAGCTTGTGCTCCTCGACGAGAAGCCACTGCAGTGAGAAGCCCGCGCACCGCGATGAAGCATAGCCCCCACTCGCTGCAACTAGAGGAAGCCCGAGTGCAGCAACGAAGACCCAATGCAGCCAAAAATAAATAAATAAATTTATTAAAAAAAAAAAAAAAGAATTAAATATGTACCAGAAGACTTGGAGCAATTCCCAGGAAGTATTGTTGAGTGAGAAGAGTAAGATATGGGAAAGAATGCATTATATGATGCCATTTTGTAAAGGGAACACTGACGTCCCGAATGTGTCTGTGTCTATGTGGGTCTGTGCAGGGTTGGGTGAAATGGAGGGAAATTTGGCAAGATACATCTACAGCTGTTACATGGGTTATCTGAGGTGAAGGCGAGATGCAGGAGGGGTACGGAAAGAGAAAAAGGAGATAGAGCCAAGCAAAAAGGAAAAGAAAAAGAATGCATTTAGAAGAACACCCATATGATCACAGGATTTTTGCATTTATATAGAATTATGTATATTAGTGGGCATTTGCATAAAGAAATACATTTTAAGTGAATGTTTAAGCAAAGAATGCGATTATATCTCCCTCTTAGAAAGTATGGTATGTAACAACAATCTAGATTTATCAAGTGACGAGTTGGGGGCAGAGAGATCTCAAGACAGAGTAATGATTTCTTGTGAAGTGTCTTTAAATGGCTGGCTCGTCAGGCGGCCAGGCAGGCTGTCTCTGGGCCCCAGCTCTGTGTCAACTTGTGCAGTGACTTCTCTTCTCCAAGCCTTCATTTCCTTTCTGTGAAATGGGAAGACGAAGCCTACGTATGACTCAGGGTTGTTGTGGGAGTTGATGAGATGCACGAATGCAAAGCCCAGGCATTTAGTGAGCATGCAGAAAACCAAGTTCTTTTCGCTGTTATGTATTTTCATCAAAAAATTGATTTTGCACCACTGGGCACGCCCTCTCAGGGCTGTGTTCCTGAAATCATTAGCCAGTGCCAGGATTGCTTATTTCCAAAGTTGTTATTTCCAAAGCAATTTGGATGGGAAGAAAACCATGGCAGTTGTTCAGTCCAAACCTCTAGCACTGCCAATGGGAAAATCAAAGTCACATAGGTAGTAGGTGGCAGGGCTGGGGCAGACCCCAGGCCCCCTTACAGCCTATGCAGTGTTTTCTCACCACGCCGTCTTACTTCTTCCTTGGTAATTATTGGGTTCACTGTCATTACCCAGAGGCTAACATTGGGGCGGGGCGGGGGGTGCGGTAGAGAAGGGACTTTTTGGTCCAAGACCATTTCTCTTGGCCCTGGACTTGCTTCTGTTTGTGGTAGCTTCCTCAGTACTTTGTACTGAAATACTTTGCACCCCTTCGTACCATGTTGTCCATGAGCACATGCGTGTATGTGTATGCACACGCAACACACACACACACACACACACACACACACACACACACACACACACACATAGCTTGGGGCAGACCCCAGGCCCCCTTACAGCCTATGCAGTGTTTTCTCACCACGCCGTCTTACTTCTTCCTTGGTAATTATTGGGTTCACTGTCATTACCCAGAGGCTAACATTGGGGCGGGGCGGGGGGTGCGGTAGAGAAGGGACTTTTTGGTCCAAGACCATTTCTCTTGGCCCTGGACTTGCTTCTGTTTGTGGTAGCTTCCTCAGTACTTTGTACTGAAATACTTTGCACCCCTTCGTACCATGTTGTCCATGAGCACATGCGTGTATGTGTATGCACACGCAACACACACACACACACACACACACACACACACACACACACACACACACTCATAGTTCAACTCAGCCAAGTGCGAGGGATTTGGGAGCATACATTTCATAGCTACTTTTCCACTTGGTTTTGCCTGAGATTGTTGTTCTGGATCCCATAGCGCCTCTGAAGGTGACAACACTGGGTAAAATCATTCATCGGTCCCTTTGACGGGGCAAGGGGATCAGCCTGGTTGGCGTGGAGTGAGCTTAGAGAAAGGCAGACTACAAGTCAGAAAGGTGAATGCTGGGAGGAGGGTCGGATCATGTAAGGTCTTGCAGGCCTTTGTAAGGTGGTGATTTTTATTTATTCTGGGAAGCCGGTGGAGGGTTCTGAGCAGAAGGATGACATTCTTGGGCTTACATCTCCACAGGATCACTTGGATGCTGTGGAGAGGAGTCGCGATAAGTAGCGAGAAGCAGGCAGACCAGTTAGGAAGCTGACACGTTCCAGGTCAAAGACGGTGGTGACTTGGATGAGAGGGGCAGCTGGGCGGAGAGTGAGATAGCGCATACTTTTTCAAGTGGGCTGATTCTGGACCTGTTGTGAAGATGGGGTCAATGGGAATTGCTGGTGGATCGGATGTGGAGTGTGAGGGGAAAAAGAAAAGGAAAATCAAGGAGCAGCTAAAAATATGGAGATGTCACTCACTGTCAATTTTCAGATAAACGAGACCCATCTTCACATTTTAATGCAGACATTTCCCGCCCTAAGATCCTGTCACCTGGGGAAGGAATCACCTGTGGATGCCCAGGGTCCTGGGGGAGGGCGTGGGCCTTGGCTGGTGTGCACTAACCTCCCCGACTCCCCCCGCTTGCAGGTATTTCTTCAACTGCGACTGTCTCATCCCCCTCAAGAGGAAGAGAAAGTACTTTAAGGTTTTTGAGGTCACCAAGACGACGGAGAGCTTCGCCAGCAAGGTCCAGAGCCTCGTGCTGGTCAAGTACGAGGTCATCGTGACGACGGGCTATGAGCCGGGGGCGGGCACCGACGCCAACGTCTTCGTGACCATCTTTGGGGCCAACGGCGACACGGGCAAGCGGGAGCTGAAGCAGAAGATGCGCAACCTGTTCGAGAGGGGAAGCACCGACCGCTTCTTCCTGGAGACGCTGGAGCTGGGCGAGCTGCGCAAGGTGCGGCTGGAGCACGACAGCAGCGGCTACAGCTCCGGCTGGCTGGTGGAGAAGGTGGAGGTCACCAACACCAGCACCGGCGTGGCCACCATCTTCACCTGCGGCAGGTGGCTGGACGCGAAGCGGGGCGATGGGCTCACCTGGAGAGACCTCTTCCCTTCCGTCTGAGGGCTAGAGGCCCTCGCTCCCCCTTCCCACCAACTTGTCCCAACCACACCCGCTACCCCCCACCTTTGCTTTCAGCAGTCCTTTCCCGAAAGCCTCCTGGAGCTGGGACTGGGGGCCAGAGCTCCATGGTCCTTCAGAGGCCATTGTGGGCAACGGCTTGTGGGGTCCTACACCCTCTCGGGTCTCCTGGACCCGGATGAATCCATCAATCTGTGTCATAATCCGTTGCTGCACAAAAATAACTTTTTGCATTTTCTTTTTCAGTAATAGCAGTGACCAGGCTGAAGCTTGCTGCCAGGTGTGGATGGGAAATTGGGGCTTCACCCAGGGGATAGAAGTGGGGAAGAAGAGGCCATCAAGATGATGTATTTTAAGCAAAAACTAATTAACACTTTTTTCCCAGAAAAGCTGGGCTAATTAAATTATTACCAACCACATCCTGCAAAGGACTCATCTGGGCATCTGCTCACTTAGGTATGCATCCTTTTTCCCAGTTTCAATAAATCCAGTGGCAAACAGAGAAAAACATCATGAGGAAGAATTTTAGCTGGAAGGATTTATGACCCTGTGAACAGGTACATGAGTCTTTCTGTCACTTTACAAAGGACGCGTTGCCAAGTGCCGACTGGCTGCCCCAGCCAGTGATAACACAGTTGAGACCCGGAGACCTGAGCAGGTGATAGGGTGCGGGGAATAGGGGGAAGAAGGTGCCTGGAACAGTGCCTGGAACTGCCTGGTCCCTGCTGCACCCGGGCTTGGAGGGGAGGAGGGCATCGGTGGTGTTTAGCACTATAGCTCGCTGTGGGCAATGTGGACTGAAAGCTGAGAAGGGATTGGAACAAAATAAAGATGTGGCCTCTGCCCTCAAGGGGGATGTGACCCTGATGGAGAGGCAGCCAGAGAACCATATATTCATGTGCATGCACAGATGTGCACGTACACACACACACACACACACACACACACACACACACATCCTGATCAACAATCACAGCTGGAGTGCAGTACAACCCAGCCCCTGACTTCTGATATTCCTGCGGAGGCATGGGTGGGACTGAGCAGAAAGGTGCATCAGGCCAGGAAGTCTTCCTGTAGGAGGTACCCAGTACCAGGATTTCTGCTGTATCACCATGGACCCTCTAGCCCAGACAGGTGTAAACTTGGTGAGGCTTCATGGCTCTGAGCTCTCGGAGACCCTTGGAGAGAGGCTGTGGCAGTAAGCACAGGCCCGGAGGCAGCTAGAAGCAGTCTTGAGTCCCAGCTCTTCCTTTTCCCTGCTGGGAGAGCTTGAGCACATTGCCTCATCTCTCAGGCCTCAGTTTCCTCATCTGTCAAATAGGAAGGAGGATAATACCAACCCTGTAGGCTACTACGAGGACTACGTGAGTTAAAATGCAGAGTCAATTCAGCGCCTGCACTGAAGGGTCTGTCCATCATGTTAAACAAGCAGGACTTAAGGGGGCTGGGGTGGGGTGGGAGAGAAGTAATCATGAAATAGCTTTATTTGTATCTTTTTCTGGAGCCGGTTCTTCCCTTGTCCCTGGATAAAAATTAAGGCAAGCCCCATAACTCTTCTGGACTCTCATAGGTAATAAAACGTCCAACAAGCACTTTAAAGTCACAAAGTCCATCTCAGTTCTGTAATTTAAATGTGTGGCTCCAATACAATGGCCAAAACATTCCACTCAGAGTTGAGCCTCCTCCCGTCCCGCGGTTCAGTCCTATCACAAGTGGTAACGAGAGTGAGTGAAGAGCGAGCGTGTGGGTGTGTCGGTGTGCACACATGTGTGTATGTGTGTATGAGTGTGGGGTCAGCCTCACCTCTTGTCCCCACCTTGCCCTTCTACCCCTGCTCCCCGCTCTAGCTGACCCCGGTTTCCCACCCCTGGCGGGGAGGGAGGAGAGGTGACGAGGACAGCTTCCTGTTGGGGGCGCTACTGTGGTCAGTGTCCTTTCTGGACTGGCAGCTGTTTGGAGCCTTCCTCCCATGAGCACTTGTGTGGGTTCTATCTCAGGCCCTTCACCACCACCGTCACTCTGTCTTGCTTAGGATCTAAGACACCCAATAGGATGTCTTCTGGCATCCTTTGCTCTGACAAACTCTGGGCAGTCAGGCCACTTGTCTCTGCCGTCAGTGGCCTGTCAGCCCATCCCTCATCCCCACGATTTCTCTGGTCACATCCCTCTCTCCAAATAGCCCCACTGAAACCCCAGTCACTAGCCGTGGGCAAAGAGCAGCCAAATGGAAGGAAGGAAGGGAGGGAGGAAGGAAGGAATACTCCCAGCCCACCCTCAGCTCTTTCTGAAAATTCTGCCCTCGTATCCACGGCCCCTTTCTCAGGCTCTCCATCCTCTGTCATACCTGGAGGACAAGGCTCAGCTCAAAGTTAAAATCGCGTTCTGCCGTGTCCTCTGGCAAGTGCCACTCAGTCTCACTATGGAATGCATCATCTATTGCCTTGTAGAAACAGCCAAGATTGGATGGGAAAAGCCCCTTGTTTTGTCAGTTGCTGATGTGCTCAATAAATGTTGGCTCACTCTTACTGGGACAGGGCAGGTCTGGTTTGGGGACATTCCTCATGACCTGAGTCAACTTTCTTTCCACCCCTTACCTTCCCTGCTTCCTCGCAGGGGACTTGTTAAGATCAGATGAAACTATTGCTGTGAAAGCCCCTTTGAAACTGTTATGCCTTCCGTTCGTCCGGGTGCACTTCATCTCACACAGGGCATCCCCCCACCTGCCTCGTTCCCCAAGTTCTCGGGACCTGGGCCGGTTGCCCACAGCTCTGCGTCCAGCATGTTACCCTCCAGCAAGGCCACACCCACCATACCCTCTGCTGTGCCTCCTCTGGGGCTGTTCCTGTGCTCTTAAGTCTCCTCACCACCGTCCACCCCTCCCTCCCACCCTGTTCTGAGGCCCCAGGCTTGGAGGGTATAATGGTCAGTAAAAAAAAGTCAGACGGAGAAAACAAATATGGTATATCATCACTTAGGTGTGAAATCTAAAGCAAACAAACAAACAGCAACGACAAAAAACAGACTAGACCAGTCTAGCCTCCCTGCTTTGTAGGGGCGGGAACTGAGGACCAGAGCAGGCCTCTGACTCACCAAGGGTCCCACAGGGGCAAAGCTGCACTTGCACTCGGCTATCTGACACCCTTCACATTCTGCGGAGGAGGTAGGGGAGACGTGCACATCGGTGGAGCGGGGAGTCTTGCAGAATCCTCGTGTGTCCGGTCCCATCCCCACAGCCCTGCGACTTTGTGCTGGCACTGCCTTTCCCTTGGGGCCCTACACTTCTCCACCCAGGCTGCAGGCAAAGGTCGAGGGAGACCCACTTACCAGGGTGTTGGGGAAAAGGGTAGAGAAAGGAGGAGCCCCTGCTGCCCTCTGCTCCCACCTTCTGCTGCCCCCGAGCCTGCCCTCTGCTCTGAGGAAGGGGTGCCAGACACCCATGAGAAGCCCCCAGGAGAGGGCTCGCTCAAAATCTCACCCCATCTGCCTCTGGGCTGGGCTTTACCTCTCAATTCCTGCCTCTTCCTTGCAAGCCGGCACAGGAATCCCCCTTTTGGCAGGGCAGAAAGGAAAGCTGGGATCGGGAGAAGCAAGCAGGCAGCCCAGGGTGCAAACTTGAGGGAGGCGCTAGACCTCAGGCTTGTGCAAAGCCAGGGCTGGCACCCGCAGCTGGGGCTTCCTTAAACATTGCACCCAGGGCATCTCTCTTGCCTCACCCTCAGCCCTGGCCCTAGAAGAAAGACAATCTTCTACTCAGAGCCCCCACAACAGTCCAAATTCCAAGGCTGAGACCCAGCAAGAAGCCATGGGGAAGATGATGACATACGCTTCTCTTGGGAGGGTCCCTCCTGAACCCCTCTCACCCTGAGGCCCCTGCTGCCGACATGGCCCCTGGTCATCACTGGGGTGGTCAACCATGGCAGGTGGCCCTGGATGCCACCTCTCCTCCAGCCAAGACCAAACCCCTCACCAGGGCTCTGGGTGAAGAAAACAAAAGATTTTTTATAAGGATGGCTTCTTGAGTGCCAAGGTTTTATATCAGTGTGATCTTTCCTCACTTGATTTAGAGATAAGTCGGCATTAAAGAATATTTGGAGAGAACCTTAAATATAATGCTACAAATACAAACAAAGTACTTCCAAATAAATATCCCGGGGGTCCGCATTAAAGAAAAAAAACTCATTCGCAGTTAGCACAAGCTACTTACACAGGAACTGTTGCACCAAAGTCTAAGAAACACTTGCTCTTAAGCAGGTTAAACAAAAGCCTTCCATCTTATTTTCTCAGCTCTTTGGCTGAACAACACTTTTCTTCCAAGATTTTGATATAAGTACACTCAGCCCAGTTCAGATACACCCCTTCCTGATTATGTGGGCTCCAATGGCATGAGGTCAGAAGCCCTATGGGTGCCCCATTTCCTGAGGACCCTTGGTGTCGTGTGTCTGTCCTGAACAGGTACCCCCATTAGTCCCAGCCCCTTGACAGAGCTCAGCACCAGGCATCACTCACCCACAGACACCCAAATGCCCTGAGTGAGGGCAAGATAAAGCTTCCAGGGACAGTTGGGGGACCTCAGCCCTGGACAAAGGGAGTAGTGGAGCCTAGAGGAAAGGAGACTTGACATGATGGGCCTTAGTGAATGACTTTTTAAGGGAGGAAAGAACATTTTACCCCAAATTTAAAAGGGGAACTTTGGGCCCTGGGATGGTGGAGGGGGTGGGAGGCAGTGTTGCTAATGAGCTGGAGGGAAGATGCTTCCAGCCTTGAGGACTCAATGGGGCTTTTCTTCTAGAATCTCCAGCTGAATGTGGAAAAGACTTTTAATGAAGCAGCGATTCCTGGTGTCTTGGTGTTGAGGCCTCAGCCACCAGCCCTCCTACTGGATAGACAATTACCAGTGACTGACCATGGCATGGAATGGCCAGAAGGGAAGAGCAGACATTGATGGGGCCTGGGAAACTCTCCAGGAAAAGGAGACGGAGAGAAGGACAAGAGGAGAAATACTGTGGAAGGCAGGGATTTAACAAAAAACAAAACAACATCACCATCATCATCTTCTACGTGGCTAATATTTATAGAGTGCTGACTATATTCCAGACAGTGCCTTACACACGTGAGCTC